TAACTATTTCGTATTTATTTTTTTTTTTTTTTTTTTGTAAATTTCACCAAACCTTTCAAATTATGTCATTTTATCAAAACAATTGAATGAATGTTGTAAAATTATCATTTTGAAATTTGAAAATTTTTATGTTAAATGTGGAAATGCTCAAATTATAAAGTATTTAGTTTTGTGAAGTTTGTAAAGTTATATTTTTGATTTTATCAAAAGTATTCATACTATTATCATGTACTGATTTTGGCATGGTACTACTGTAATATACGGTACTAGTACTAATATGGCATATTAGTGCTGTATATAGTATTAGTACTGACATAGCAATATTACTGTTATCTGTACAGTACACATTGATATAGCACAATGTTACTGTTATATATAGTACCAGCATTGATATGGCACAGTGTTATTGTCACATACAGTACCGGCGTTGACATGGGATAATACTATTTCCTCACACTAAAAGTTAGCTTTAAATTATTATTTTTATAGTGTAATATTTCTCTTTTATAAAAACATAACGTTTTGTTTCGATGGAAAAATTTCAATATTGCTATACTGGTCACAGTATACTACCACAGTATCATAGCATACTATCGAACACCATACCAATATTTGTATTCCCTTTTCCCCAGATACTGATTAAACTTATCAATTTGTCAATTGTTTGAATAACATTCACATTTATTAAATATCAAAAGATTGAAATTATTTAACTTAAATAAAAAATGATTTCTCAAATAGATATTTTAAGTAATTCAAGTATTTTCCAAATATTTCGTTGCATTCTTTTATTAAATTTCATTTACAAATTTATTTTCGAATACAATAATAAAAATGATAAGGAAAATTGTTAAATGTTAAAATGTTAGAACATTGATAAATTATTTTGAATTAGTTACAATCATTTATTTAAAATTTCATTTCAAGTAATTATCTTAAAAAGTTCCAATAATGCATGCAAAAAAAAAAACCAAAGGAAAAAAGGTGGGAAAAAATGGTAAATGAGGAAAATTTATAATTCAAACATATAATTTCAACTTAATAACAAATATTTACAAAAATGAATGGTTTATAAATACTTCAAATTGACATTTAAATGTAAGGAAACAAATATAATTTCAAAAAATTCAATTATTTTTTTTTTGTTAGGATGGCAAAAAGAAATCATTGTTAATTCAGGAATTGTATTTGACACTGCTAATTTGAAATGTTTTAAAAGAAAACTCTTTAAGATGAGGTTTTTTTCTATTTATTCTACCGTAAATGTAAATTTAATTCTACTGGAAAAAGGAAAAGTAAATGAAATTTAGTATTACATTAGGATTATAGAATAGTTTGCAATATATGGATTTGAACCATCCTTTTATTGCTTATTTATTAGTACTTAGCAAATAAAATAGAATATATTAGTCAATCTAATCTTCCATTCTACGGTTAACCACTTCTCCAAAAAATTAATTATTAATTGAAATTACAGTAATTTTCTTCGAAAAACCACTTACTGAAAATTTTGCAAATGTAAACAATGAAATAAATATATAATTGTGACTAACAGGTCTCTAGTTGTGATAATAATATTTCATTATTTTGGTATTTTAAAATTATCAATTATACAATGATAGTAATCACATTTGAAAGCATTTAAAGATAAGTCAACGCGTATAAAAAGATGGTGACGTAATTAAAAGATGGTGACATAATTAAAATATATATTTTAATAGTTTGAAATTTGTTAAATTTGATATGAAAGAAAAAAAACGATGATAAAGTGGAAGAGGAATCGAAAATTTATGATAAAAATCAAATAAAATTTGAAATTTACAATCAAATAGAATTAATTCATTTTCTTTTTATTCAGAAATTAATATGCAAATTAAAAAAAAAAATTTCAAAATATATTAAGTTCAATCATTTGTTTTAGCAAAATTTCCTATTACCCATCATTCATACAATATATCATTTGATAATGAAATATCATTTATCAGTATGATATCAAAAGTGAATGAAAAAAAAGAAGTGAATCATCAAAACTAACATTAATGATCTGTCAAAGTTTTTTGAAATTCCTTAGAATTTTATTTATTTATAACCAATCCTAAATGGAATTTCTATGGAAAATTTAAAAAGAAAAAAACATTTAAGAAGTTATAGCAAAATGATAGTTTCAAGTTAATAAGCCTAAATTTGTATTTTGTAAATTTTCCATAACTAAATTTTATAAGATTTATAATATTGCTATTTAAAATTGTCCAATAATAAATTTCTAAAATTGCCGGATAGTATGCTTTTCAATAATTTCCGAACCGTATGCTTTCAAAATTTCCGGATAGTATGCTTTTCAATAATTTCCAAGTTGTATATTTTTCAAATTCCCGGATAGTATGCTTTTCAATAATTTCCG